GAATAGAATAGAATAGAATAGAATAGAATAGAATAGAATAGAATAGACACCCATGGGTCTTTCTCCTCATCTATGGCAGCACCTTTGGTGTCTTTGGACTTCTGATTACCCCAGAAGAAGCCAGAGTGATGCAGGTGCTATAGAAAAATTCAAAATAAATCAATGGTTTAAAAATGGCCAAAGTAACCTGTGGAGCATCACAGCTCTTTTCATCTGATGGTGGTACTGTTTGTTGTTGAATGTCATGTCTTCTCTAAAAAAAATGTTCTTTAAAAAAATGGGTCTGGGTTCCTGTGGCTTAATTCTTCCAGTGGGGTGAGTCAGTGAAAGAGTAAATCAGGAAAGGCGCATTTAAATGCTTGTTGCGCAGCTGCTGGTGTTCTGGTGGAAGGTTCATCATGCATCTCTCACTGTAACGCCTTGATAGAAGTCCAATGTTCTCTTGACGGTGTTTAGTTAAACGGGTCTCATTGGTAGAAATTCTGGGCAACCGCTCATTTGTTACAATGCAGTTATAACATTCACCCATTCTACACCGAAGGGGGCAAAGTCTTCCAGTGCTCTTGCCCAAGATGTAATTCCTATTCCTCTCCTTGGCGCTTACATCTAAGACACACTTGGTCTCAATGGTTGTCTGTAGCTTTCTTTTTTCTTCTGCTTCTCTTGCAGCCTTCAAAGCAGCTTGCTGTGCATCTCTCTTCTTCTTCTCCTCAGCAGCTTCTCGTTTCGTTGCTGCTTCGGCTGCACTGGAGTTTTGAACTGCAATGCGGACTTCGTTCAATTTAAGGGCCTTTTCCTTTTCTTTGACCAGTTTAGTCTTGTCCAAGGGATTCAGGACTATGAATGGCCCATTTAAATGTTTTTTATGCTGCTGCTGGTGTATTGGTGGAAGGTTCAACCTTTTCTCGCTGCAACGCCCTGTCGGAAGTCCATTTTGCTGTTGACGTCGTTTAGTTAAACGGGTCTCCTTGGTGGACATTCTGGGCAATGGTTCGTTTGTTTGAGAGTCGTTGTAACCATCATCCATCCTATCCTTAAGAAGACCAGGACCTCCTGTGCTTTTGCCCAAAATTGTATCCACTGTCTTCTCCCTGAGCCCTTCATCTAAGAGAAATTTCCTCTGTAACATTCTCTGTATCTTGCGGTTCTCTTCAGTTTCTTTGGCAGCCTTCAGAACAGCTAGCTGTTCATACCTCTTCTTCTGCTCTTCAACTTTTCTTTTCTTAGCTGCTGCGACTACATTGAAGTTGTGAATTGCAATGCTTTCTTCCTTCTCTTCAAGAGCCTTTTCCTTTTCGTTGACTATCTTAATCTTGTCAAAGGCCTTCTGGGCCACAGCCCATTCACGTTCTTTCATTTTTTCTTCAACCTCCCCCTTCATTTTACTTTTTGCCTGAATTTTTCTAAATATCATCAAGGATTGGATGTCTACAACTTCTTTTTCCCTCTTCTCTCTCTTCTGATTTTCAATCTTAGCCCTGTATGATCTCAGATTAATCTGTTCTTCCTCTTCTTTTACAGCTTGCATGGCAGCTTGCTCCTTCTGCATAATTTCCAGTTTGTGGGACACTAACTCTGTTCTCCTTTGACGGCGTCTTACCACTTCATGGGATGATTTTTGTCTCTTTTGTGCTTCAATTTCTCTCCTAATCTGTTCTGCGCATAGGTCTTCTCTTTTTTCTTTGGTCACTTCCATTTGTTTTTTTGTTTCTTGGTCATGGGTGTTCTGAAATCCACTCGTTAATCCTTTCTTCTTTTGCTTAGGTATCATAATGTCTTGATCAGGTTTTTCCTTGCGATGTTGCTGGAACATAACTTTTCCTCTTTTATCTCCTCTCTTCTCCTCTCCCTTCCTAATTTCAGCAATCTCATTTTTCCCCCGGCTTCGTTCACTCAGCAGTGGAGCCAGACTTTGAATGTGAACTTTATTTGGCATAATTTTTTCCACCTGTCTACCTATTTCTGAACATTCTGACAGAATTCTTTCTTTATGTCTTTTCAGTTCCATCATGGCGTAGTTAGTCTGTTGAACCTGCGCCGCGTGGTATGCATGGGCAAATTTTCTGCCACATTGAAGAACCCTGTCATATTCACTCTGTTCTTTCTTTAAATCCATCATTTCTCTTGAAAATTTGCTGATACAATCATCAGCTTTTTTTACAGAATGCCAGCTTGTCAGCTTTGGTGCTCTAATGTGATCCATGTCAAAAACAGAGGTTCGGGGCTTTGACTCCAGACTGTGAAAATGCAGACTGAAAATGAGCTCTATACCTATTACTATTAAAGGTAGAATGTGACATCAATGCAGTGTAATCTGTGACATCACAGACTACAGTGGGGGGCTGGGCGGAACTGGGCGGAGCTACTAGTGACATCATCACCCATGGAAATTTCCATGTTTATACATACATATATGTTTATATATCAGGCCTCAGGAAGAGAACTTGTTTATATGAAGGTTCCTGTAAACAAACTAAAACAATTAGCTGACTATAACTTCCGTTTAGTGCATCTTCATTCTGCAGAATCTTTATTCATACAAAATAAAAATATATGCTTCCTAACATTGTCCTTTAATGTTATCCAAACATTCATAATATCACAAAAAAAACTACAAATAGTACTAATAGGCTAGTTACAGGGTGGGACAGTGGTAGGATGGTTAGCATTGTCACTTCACTGCAAGCTAGAATGTCTCCGGTTCAAGTCCCCAGGGGGACCAGTACTTTTCTGTGTGGAGTTTGCATGGTTTCCGTCGCTGTGTGGGTTTTTTCCAGGAACTACAGCTTCTTCCCACCATCCAAAAATATGCTTATTAGGTTAACTGGACACTCTCAATTGCCCCTAGGATTTAATGCGACCATGTAGTTGTTTGTCTCTGTGTGTCCCCTGGACTGGTGATCTGTCCAGGGTGTACTCTACTCTGTAAATCCAATTGGTTATTATTATTATTAATTTAATAAAATCATGCAAACCTGTTACGCATGGAAAAATATGTACAGAAAACTAAATGTTTTATGTTTTATACGATGTAGTATTTCATTTGTGGAGTACACTTATACGTGAGTTTAAGCAAATAAAACAATCAAGTGACATGTACTCGATAACATACTTTAGATCTACTCTTGAGTTGCTAAATACTCCTCAGAATGATAGTTTTAATGTGCTTATCTATGTTTATCTGACTTAGTAGGTTCAAGTTATATTTACTTGAACAGCAATCCGACTTAAAGCTGCTAGATACTCCATGAGGAACAACTAATTTGTTGTCATTCTCGAGGTGTCAAGAGCAACAACAAAATTATTTCCGGCTCTGAGATTTCATACTTCTCAAGAAACTAAGATGGCGGACTCCTAGAAAGTCCTGCCAACTGAAGCATACATCACACTCGCTCTAAGATAGGTTCACAAACACAACAGAACAATTATAACGTTTTTTTAATAGACAAAAGAAGAAAAGGGGAACAAGATTTTTGCTAGAGAGTTCTCCTTGTGATCTGTGATTGTTGAGAAATGGGGGGAAAATGGAAACGATGTGTCCAGAACCAGCCGTGAGAACTCCAAAACCACAGCTGCGGGAACAAAATGATGCCATTTTGTTCACACAGCTTGTGGAGTTTTTGATAGCCTTTACCTGCTGAATCCAGGTAAACTGATTGCTCTTTTAAAGAAATCTGTTTACCTCCGATATCTATCCATTGTGTCCAAACAACGTTGTTTTCAAGTAGAAGTTCCAAGTCGTAGTTCGGTCCACTCAAAGTGTAGATTGTGGCGCCAGATGACGTATTTTTACGTCTAACATAAAATGTAGAAAGCTGACATTCAGTGGACATCTTTTTGAAGGTAAATTTAACTTTACTGAATCACGAGTGTCATTAGTTAATAAGAAATTCTGAATACTGAAATTAAATTAAACTGCAAAGACATGGACTTAGAGGTTTACAGATACATCTCATCTTTATTTTTAACATTTAGAACAGCTGATCAGGTACTGAGCAGAACAGCAGTCAACACAGTTGACAAATATAGAAATAATTACAATTACACAGCCCACCTTTGCTTAGGTCTGCAACTCAAACACAAATATGCAGGAAAAACAGTTTTGAGTTGTCAGCCCAGCCAAAATCCAACCAACTTTACAGGGAGAACAAATGTGCAATTTACTGTTGCAAACTTCTGATGCTCTGAAGCCTGCATCATGATGAACTCCTCCGTAGCATGACATTTCATCAACTGAAAAATGTGTTGCTTTTGCATCTACATGCAATACTGGATTAAACCAAAACCATCTCAGGAATTGTTAAGATACAGAGTATTGAATATTATTGCATAGCAAAGTCGTTGTTCTCTTGGCAGAGTGTCTGTATGTAAAGATCAAATACAATTAAAGGATTTGTTCACTTGCAATTCACGTTGGTATTTTTCTATAAATAAAGAATATAAGCTATATCCCAGTGAGAAACATATTGTAATGTAACAGTATCAAGACTGTGGAACAAAAAGTGGTCACAATCATCACCTCAGAGACACAAGAAAGACAAACACTACTGAACCTATAGCCAGAGTCCAGCCACTGTAGTTACAGATGTATTACTCAGTCCATCCTTCCCTCGACTGTATGTCTGCTGGACTTTGGCAGCCTTATATCAGGACAGTGTCAGAATCAATGGTTTTTCTTCCTCCCTTTTGCTCAGCAGATTTGAAAGCATGAAGGACGAAAAGAACAAAAACTCTGCTGTATAACTGAGCTCGAACAGCTCCAGGTTGGCACTCAGCATCCACTCAAATACAGCAGAAAGGTGGTTGTAAAAGTGCTCATCCTGGGCAAACAGCACAGTATCTGAGCATTGTTGAATTAAGGAGGAGTAGAGGAAGGCCTGATACATCCCGAGTGAATGAACTCAAAACGACTTGTTAACAGTTAACACTTATATACCAGGACACGGTTCAGAAAACTCCTCCAAAACCTGAGGCTGAATGTTCCTGGACAATGACAGTTAAACATTAATCAACCCAAATTATTACATATCACTCTCTGTCATGAAATGCACTTGTGATCAGCCCACTTGGTAAACAGAGAAGCAGACTGGAGCCAAAGCAGCATGAGAATACTGTGTTGTAAAGCAGATGGAAAGTAACACACATACTTTATTGAGATGTACCCTGAGCCTTCATCCCTGCGAATATTACACCCATAATAAAAGCAAATGAAAAAATAGTTTCTGATAGAGCTCCTGTTTAAGCCTCTCTGAAAGGATACAGCATATTGTCACGGTGATTTGAACCACGGTGCTGGCGATGCGCAGTGGATAGAGGATCATTTCGTAGCCTGTCAGCACACACTTCCCCGTCAGGGCAGTGAGCAGGATAGTGTAGAAGCAGATGCACATGAAACTGACAGCAGCTCCAAAGTAGTGGAGGAGTGACAGGTAACCTGGCTGTGGGGAGAAGGCAGTAGTTTTCATTTTCAGGACTTTCATAGTTATTTGAAATCAGGATGGAAATTGAATATGTAACATTGTTAGATATGTGTGTAAAGGATTTGGCAGGACTGGTCAAATTATTTGTCACAGTTAGTGACTAAGTTGGTGGCCTTTTCTTTCTAAATAAAAAAAACATTAAATGAAAATGCTGAAAGCTGAAATCTTTGGATTTGATTGTGAGAGCCTGTTGAATCAGACTGTGGTAAAGTTCAGATGCTTTTCTGTGCCCAGATGTATATATGGTACTTGTTTTAAGTGATTAATTAAAAAATAAAGCAAAACAGATTCTGATTAATCTGTTTTTTTAAAGTCTTTAGGACCTTCTGCATGCTACTTTGCCATAAAAGAAGACAGGGCCAAAACCAAGCAAAAACTTGGATTTCAAAAGTTGGACTCTTTTGGATCTTTATGTCTTTGGTTAAATTTTAATTTAATGTTTAAAGTTTCTTCTAATTATATTAACTGGATTCAACTGATTTCTTTTTTTTTGGATGATATTGTCAGTATACTGCTGTACAAAATCCTCAAGCAAAACCTCACTTCATGACAAATTTATCACTAAGAACAAGACTCTTGCTCTTGTTAAACCTTGACTCCCACAACTTTAAAAGATAACGAAATATAATGTGGCATAACAACAGCTTTAATTCTCCAGAACAAAGTTTACTTTGAACACTGAAATTAATTCTACGTCCAGCCCATGTTAACTATTTCAACACTGACCTTTAAACTTGCTGACGTAAAACAGGCACATAACTCAAGGGATAAACCAGTATTGCATCTAAAAATAACACAAAAATAGCTAAGAACAAGTTTTCAAAAGTGCCTTTAGGCGTTTCTCTACAATGCACCTGTTGTTAAGCCTCAAAATGTCTTACTTATTTATCTTTCCCATTTATTTAATTGAATGGCTAAAAACAATAATATTAGACAGTTTAAGTATTTGAGGGACTATTACCACAAAAAACAAGAACAGACATAAAAAAATAGGCATTTTGTAAACTCTGTGATGGAATAAGTGGCGCCTGGCATCACTGGCCTTAAGCATCAAGTAATGTCTTCCTTTTTAAGCAAATTTGTATGTTTTAGCAAGAAATTCACTACTTACGTTACAGTTTCCTGCCATGAATGCCCCTATCGCGGCCACCACCCCAAAGGCCAGTGCAGATTTGCTCAACATGGAGTGAAAAGTGTGTTTCTCCATAATGTGAGCATGATGGAATATACAGAACAGCAGAACTAAAGAGAAGATCACAGTGACTCATGAGGTATATGTAAGATATATTTATGTGTTTTCCATTTGGGAGGCAAACTCACACATAAAGGATCCAGCATTGATGGTGGCTGTAAAAAGGGAATTTTCTGGTGCATGAGTTCCACTTGCACTGGAATCACAGAGTTAGTTGGTATGTTTTGCTTTTTTATACTAAAACAAGATAAAAAAGGTGCAATACAAAAAACAGGTACTCTGTGTGTTTCTTACCTCATGGTGGGAACAAGGCAACATTCATTGGTCCTATTGATTCTGCAGATTCTGTCACCGCTCCTGAAAAAAATGGAGCTCATCATTGCTCACATGTTCACAAAGTTGAGATAATGCGATGATTAGACCCAACTCACCAGTCAGAGAGAGCGCAAACATGATTGTTGAAAGAGGCCAGCCCATATCTGGATAATTAACCGAAAGAAATTATTAAACACAACAATCTAAAATGGCTCTTTAATTTTTTGTTTTTTCACATAGAAAGTCAACAGCACATCCATATCAGATTATGGGGACAAAACGTTTGTGTTTTCAGAACAGTTTAAATATGACGCAGATGACTCCCCACTGATTTCACCTTCAGAGCCCAATGCAGACTGTGGAAACAACACTGTGTGCTGTAAATCATTAAAAATGACTCACACAGCTTAACTGACATGCTAACCTGTGAATACCTTTACGCGTGCACACCCTTCAAATAAGGAAACCAGCCAGGCTACATACTTCGTCTTTCAAAACGGACAGAAACTGCAGTGACTTATGTCAACAAATTGAGAACTTGTTGGACATGCTAAACATTTGTGACGTAGGTTTTATCCCTACTCATAAACTTGCCATGGTTAAATATTGTCATAAAAAAAATATTACCTTATAAATGCTCTCATGCAAACAGTTCAGTACAGTACACACACTTGGTCTGACAATATTAAACAGAACTGATGCTGCATTCAGTTTCAGAGTTTGTTCTGAGTCCTGTTTTCAGCTTTCATCCAAAAACCTTAAAGTTATTATTAATGTGAATGAAATATACATATCTGATCGGACAAGCTCATTAAGAATTTTAGAAAGTTTGATAAAATCCACATAAAATTTAGATAGAAAGTTAGCGACAGAATGAAAGTTTAAAAATATATTTTACTGGTACCAGGGTGTAATGACAAAAGAAAAAGAGTTACAAAGAAAAAGAGTCGCAAACTTACACGCTCCAAGTTCCAATGAAGGACACCAGGGCTAGTGAGATTGGAAGGATAGCCCAGAGTACCATTTCCAAGTGATGAGAGGTAATATCACACAGTTCCTTATGTCCAGGTGTTTTTAACACACTTAGTAAGTTTCCTTTTTTTGAAGTTTGAAGTTAATTATGAAAATTCCTCATGCAGATGCTGTCAAATCTCCATTGCAGGTCTGGTGCCGGAAAAACAAATAGCCCTAAACCTCTATCAGTGCGCGATTGGTCTATTAAATTTTCACCTTCCTTACTGTGGTTAGATTGTTCATTCACCAGAACAAAAACCTGCTCTGAGAAGTCCTCCCTGATTTTCTGCCACTCCTCTGAAGCACCACATTCCTCTGTTAGGAAACATGGGGTTGGTCTTCTTGCCACACTAACATTGTTTGTTTTATACTCAAAAGTTTTACTAGTATGCTTCAAGTTATGGCTAAGTATGTTACAGTAGATACTACAAGGTAGCTAAATGATCTACACAATGTAAATGCTCTGGAAAAAGAACAAATGTGATAATATGTCAACTAAGTGACACCCTTTGATTAATAGAAAAGGTGTCATTTCATTATTCTGTCAATCTGTCACTACTGCACATTTAGGTATGAAGAGCTTACTTTTCACTTTAGTATTGGTATTTTATGTTCTCTAAATATACTAGTTTGTCATGTTTTATGTGAATGTGCTTTGTGTAATCATAAAATAAATACATTACTGGTCAAGGATAAAGGGACTATTACACATTCACTCACCATGTAAAAGCAGTTTTACCTCATCCATTATTTGTAAACTCTGATTATTTGCTATAGAATATGGATCAATATTTTTGGTTTAAATAGGTCTTGAACAACTTGAAGAAAATTTGTGTTGATTATGAAAAAAACAGTAACCTTTCTGTCACTTGAATGATTGGTTCATTGACAAATGTTCTGAACTAAATTATTGAGACCCCTATATTTGACATACCGGTACTTTAAAGTTTCTGGAAATAATGGTCAACTAACTGTTCTGTAAGGTTGGTCAGCTTGATAAAAAAGGAAACTCTAAAGTTACATAAATGATACATCTTACATTTAAGGGAAAGATACCAGTCATCGTAGATTAACTGTTTAAATTTGACTCGTACTTTCACAGCACTTAGTCCATACTGTCTTACACAGATACAGGAACAAAATATTCAACTATGATTTGATATTATGCGTGTACCCTTAAAATTACTGTTCCCTGTTCACAGAGATACAAGAACAAGTGGCCTAGTTTAAACAGGACATCTTATCCTAAGGATGACGAAATATATTACCAGATAATACTATGTATGATAACATATTACAGAATGTTAATAATGCCCTTTTGATTCCAACTTGTTTATCATTCTGGCAAGAATAATTCCTGTGACAAAACGTAGTACTTTATTAGTTATTTGAATGTTCAAGTGTGCAAAAATGTGAGTTCCTTAAAGAACATCATGATTGATTAGAAATAGAGTAATGAGAAAAATATAAAAAAGTATCAATTAATTACATTCTTTGGTAATTCAAGCAAATGAGAACAACATTATCTTGTAAGTCTAAAAACCTACTTGGCAATAAACCTTATTCTGATTCTGATCTCAGTCAATAAACCACATGGTACATCACAGCCTCAGTTAGAAGCGCTGGATTCAGATTACACAATAATTAACCACTCAAATTGTATTTCTTTTTTTGGCCTGGGTTATTTCTACCAGCAGAAACTTTTCCCTTGTTTTATGGGTGAATTTGGTGAACATCAAGAACAAATATTAAATTGAATTTAGACTCTTGTCAGGAGTACATGCGTTCGACCACACGGGGTCCTCAGTTTCAAAACAAACAAAATGGCGGCGCACATGAGATGGGGACTTCAGCTGTTATTACGTGGGAGAAATACTGTTCATTTAAGGTTTGAACTGTAGTATCTGTCATGTATAGTGTTCTATAGGTTAACATAAGTGATCTGATAAGATGTAATGCTTTGTATCCCCTAAAACGTAGTAATCCTCCGCGTGATTGAAATAACTCAAGCTACTTTGCTAACTATCAGACTGCTATTGAAAGACTCGGTTTGACCCTTTTCCATCTTGATACCGGTGGTAATGTTAGACAAAATCAAAATGCTTTTACAGTTTAACTATATACCGAAACTGATCTCATGTATATGGTCTTCCCGAACTTTCCAAATCAGTGACTCGGCAGCTAGCTGTTAGCTAGCGCATTAAAGGTATTTATTAATCATCTAAATGATTAATATTGATTCATAGAAGCCATCCTCTAAGCTTCCTTTGTGAAAACTGAACCTATAAAATGAATTGATAATGCTTTCATTGGCCAGTGGCAGTTTCTGCCTACATGGGTACATGTGTATTAAATGTGTATTACATTTCTTGTTAAAGGTTTCCGGACATGACCAAACGTTCGTTCCCCTTACAATCCACGACCCAGAGTTTCGGAGGCGTCCATCCACAGGCCGGGACAGGAGCCACAAACTGCTCAAGTGAGAAACCAGCTTTCAGATATGCCTTTGTGGTGTTTCACTTCTATGTGCTACATTTCCTAACATGTTGGATTTTTTACATTATGAAGACAGAAAAAGGAAACCACAGTGTAAATGTTGTGTTATGTCTTTCAGTAAGATACCTTTCCATTCAGACTCAAGACACTCCAAACCCAAGAAGCCTGAAATTCCTCCCCGGTAAACCCGTGCTGGGAAGCGGCACAATTGACTTTCCATCTCCAAACTCAGCTGAATGTTCATCATTAGCCAGGTAGTGTGTCAAATTTACTGTTGGACATTCTCACAATATCATACTGGTCATACTGGAATTCTCAGAAAATGTGGTGATTTTATGATAGTCATTGATAAATCATCATCCTAGTAGTGATCAAGAACCATGCTAAAAAAGCTAATGTTTATGTATATGTAATAAGAAAAAGAACAATAATGTATTTTTACAGTAGAGCTTCAAACCAGCCCTTTTCGAAATAAATACTGTATGTAACATTTATTGGCCCAGCAGTTAAAGTGTTTCTAGGCCCCGGGAGGCAGAAATAAACATGAGTGCCCACAGAGCGTTTACATATGCAACGTTAAGGACTAAATTAAGCCTATAGTTTCAGTTACTTATAAAGGTTACAAATTTTTCTTGCCAAAACATTACAGTCAGAGGAATAATTGTGCCATAACATTAGAACCACTGTCCTGAATGTAGTTAACATCACGTCACTGGCAGTACTGAGGTTTCCCAGCAGATTACAGTGTTCGCTCATTTAATTTGGGTGTGCTTAAGTTTTGTAACCGATGTAATGGATGTCTCTGTACTATGTGATTTATGGTGGGGATATGGGGTGGGCCATTTCTTGTGAAAATCAAACCTTACTCTGGGTTTTTGTGGATGTGTTTTTTTTGTGTGTGTGTGTGATGTTATTAAGATTTTGTTTTTCTATTATTTAGACTCTGTTGCAAAACTTGTTTTTATTATTTCAACTGGAAAGCAGTAAAAATGTTTCTTTCAGGGACCTGTTTGAAATTGAAGGAGTAAAAAGTGTGTTCTTTGGCCCTGACTTCATCACAGTCACTAAAGTAAGTTTAAATTCTCTCTCACAGCTTGTCTCCATTATTTTGTCCACATGACATTTTTCCAAAATGAAATGGCACCCAAAATGCTTGTTTAATTTTCAGACAGATGAGGATGTTGAATGGACAGACATTAAGCCTCATGCTTTTGAGGTCATTTCTAAGTTCTTTGAGAGTGGTGACCCAGCTATCACAACCGAAGCGGTGCACCATGAAAGCAGTGAGTTTGGGACGTAGTTCTAGGTGCCTGCATGGCTGTGATGTGGATAAACATTTTGATATTTTGTGTTTTCTTTGTTGTAGGTTTTTGTGAAGATGATGATGACATTGTATCAATGATAAAAGAGCTTCTGGATACAAGAATTAGGTACAAGAAACTAATTACACATATTTTTAAACAGGTTTAAATTTTGGTTCATAAACTCAATCACATCCCTTTTACGTCTTTTTCTGCACTAATTGACACAATTCCTTTTACTCACAAGACCTACAGTGCAAGAGGATGGAGGTGACGTAATCTTTAAGGGTTTTGAGAACGGCACAGTTAAGCTGAAGCTGGTGGGGTCCTGCACTGGATGCCCCAGCTCTACTGTAACTCTGAAAAACGGCATTCAGAATATGATGCAATTTTACATCCCTGAAGTGGACAACGTGGAGCAGGTGATCACTGAATTTTTCCTTAGATTAAAAAAAAAAAACACATTGGAATTCAAATATAATGAAGAAAGAGTCTGCTTCCTACACTGTGTGTAAAACGTTTTGTCTTAACTCTCTTCTGTCCAGGTGGAAGATGAAGTGGATGAAATCAACGCAAAGGTTTTTGCAGAAGTGGAGCGCAAATTACAGGATTGAAAATTTTGTTGGCCAACATATTCAAGAAGAAGAATTTGATTCACATTGTAGAAATATGGTTTTGCATTGTTTCCACAGATGACCACAATACACCGCCAGACTGAGGAGAATCATTCAGTTATTTTGTCTCTGTACTGCATACTGTTAAAAGATTAAGACTGTAATTACACCTGTATCTAGGAATGCTGTAATTTTTTTTTCTTTTTAAAAATGATGTTCTGCTGTGATATCTTTAAATGTTGTGTTGTATTTATTTCCTATAAATACTGTATATTGGGAAAGAATATTTTCTTAAGATGGAGATTTTGGTCTAGCTTGTATAATCGGTTCTGGTCACAAAGATTTGAAGGTATTTTAGTGTTCCCATTGCTGCTGCTTTACCATTAATGAAACAAAACAGTTTTGACATGTTAATGCATTAACATTTTGTCTCCCATAACTGACACAAAATGCAAATGGCTCTAACATTTTCCATCAAACCAAAGTAGATTTTCAATGTAAGCTTTTAAAAGATTTTTATGTTGTATTTATATGCTTTTTGCTCGACTATTAAGATTTACTGTAACATTAAAGTGCACTGGTTGAGTTATATATTAGTTCCTGAGAGCTTCATTGCATCTGTCTTCTTGTGTTCATTTCATGTCAGTATGAGTTAAGTATGAGTATAAAATAGAATACAAGGATATCCAGTCTCAGAAATAATAATGGGTTTCCGCTGGTAATCATGAATTTTCAGGAGAATGAAAACAGCCTAGATAGACTGCAATGTCTCGACAATGGTATTGCAAAACAGACTGAATTTCAATCTTTTTTAAATATTCTTTCAAAAATAAGAGTTCTAAATAAAATTCAGACAATTTCAAAGTAGATATATCAATCTTAAGATGGGAGTTGTTATTGTTTTAAACTACTTACACAGTTGCACATTGTACCTGCAGTACCTGCATTATATGTATTTTTATCTATGTATAATTATTGGAATTTGTTTTCCCACTTAAAGGCAAGTGACCAAATTTGATCACTTCATTGGCCTTGACATTTTTACCACTAAAGGGCAAGTTACCAAATATGGTAACTTCATTGAACTCGATTTTCAACATGAAAATAAAAAAAAATTCAAAAATTTCACAATTGGAATAAAGTCTTATTATGTTGTCCAATGAGACTCTAAGGTTGAATTTTTTAATTTTAAAGTATTTCATTGAGTGCCCTATAAAGGGTTAATATTCACCTTATTCACCCTTTCAACCACACACTAATATATCCGGGAAATAAATAGACAGACAGACAGACAGACAGACAGACAGACAGACAGACAGACAGA